TGCTATTACTCCATTAATTTAAACTAGCATATACTGTATATCCAGCGCTCCCTGAACGCAGTCTCTGGCTTTTTGCCAGTCAAGCGCAAGCACGCAGGGACGCGTCTAGTAATAACGACTCTGATCTGATCATAAAGTCTTTCCAAGTCCAAGTCAAGTCTCGAGTCATTGCTGTCAAAGTCTAAGTCGAGTCTCAAGTCTTCTTTAATTATGTCGAGTCGAGTCGCAAGTCATCAAATTTGGGACTCGAGTCCGAGTCAAGTCTCGAGTCATGTGACTCGAGTCCACACCCCTGGCAACTGTAGCCTATTACTCAACATCGCATGTTAAAAAACACTTTGGCCATGTTAGATCAGGATACACTGACACCGAGAATGTCAGCTTTTAAAATAAAAATAAGAATTAGCATCGCAACCAAAGTAGACGTGAAGAAAACTGCATTCATGAGGAAGGGAATCAACTTTTGCACTGCAAAATTGTAAATAAACCCAGGGTGGAAACAGCGACCTCTTCAGGCCGTTCTAAGACACTGCAGGCTGGCGTCTCTGCTGTCAGTATTCAGTGGGAGGGTAGACAGCAGCAGCCCCGGAGCTAAAACCAACGTGACAGACCGGAGTCTCAATAACACCACCCGAACCGAGAGCAGCAGTTCCAGAGAGACCTTAATACTGCATATGGAGACTACCAGTTGTCATTTGTCGACTGCTGCATAAGCATAACGATTCAGCCGGCTCGACAGCAGCGAACGCGAACCGCAGTGGATGTTGTTGCATTGTTCACGTGAAAGGAAGAAAATCGCTGGTTTGCAGCGGATCCGCGTGCAGTCGACCGGAACCGGACTCGGTTGTTGATTTGTCATAATGTTTTATCACGGGATACATCGTTACGCTGGATACCGAATTTATTAGTCACTGCATCACGCTGGATTCAACAGCCCCGTTTTGAACTTGGCCTGTAGAGCAAATCGCACGATGAACGCGTAGCTGTGCTAAATTTATGGAATTGATATTTTCTGACCATTCGGTCCTCTAGCCGTGATTCTTTTGGCCTTTACAACTATTCGGCGATCGTTACCTCTATTAAATTATTCGCTCGGTCAACTCAAGCAACTGCAGCTGTCGCTTTGTCTACATCAGAGGGGAATGGAGATCACGATACGAAAGGTAATCGCTGGCCAGCCTCCTATTTTTCATTATATACCTGCGTATAAACCTCAGCTTGTTTATTATGGGTTGACAGGCATATGATATTAAATGCCCATTGTATATTACAGGCTGGTATGTCGTATTTTGCGCCTGTGTGTTCGTACGCGCTTCCTGTTAAAAAAACGCGATTAAAGGCGCGCGGCATTATTTTAAGAATGAGCTCGAGACCCGAAGAACTAACGTTCGTCGTTACTTGGCAACTTTTTAAAAGCATCGCTGGAAACTTTTAATCATTTAAATGCGTCGTAAATGCAAAATACGACAGAAATTGACTGAGTTGTGTGCTTGTCTTTGCTGGAGAATTGAAAAAAAAAAAAAAAAAATCCCCCCAAATCTCAGCTGGCCACCCCATGTAACCAGGGCGACCCGTCTCCTTTACATGGTTTGGTTTTGTTGACATTTTGAGGCACAACATTTTATTATTTTTTTTATTTTATTTTATATTTATACGATTGAAACTGAACACCTGACGGAAGCCCAGCAGTCACACGCACAGAAAACCGAAGTTAGCAAAAGGTTTCGAAGTCGAAGTAGCTTACGTTTGCTTTTAATGTCAACCTTTAGCTCCTTTAAACGTAATACTGAAAATTTTGTGCTGTTTATAAGTGTCTTTAGTTGAAACGTAGGCTAATATTTATTATTTCTAAGTTAAGTGATGCTGTTATTATAATTTTTAAAATGCTTATTAAAATGGAGAACGGCTTTTAATGCTTTTGAACCAGGAAAAATAAACTTGAGTGTGCAGTTAATATGTTCTTTATATGTCTCTTGCAGTAACCCTGGACCTGTTTTTTTGGGTTTCAGAGCCAGGTCTCCTGCACTCTGAAGGTCTGAAGAATATCAAGGCTCTTGCCCTTTTCCCTCTTGCGGTCCCTTATGCCCAATGACGGCTGTCTCCGGGTCACTGCAGGATGGATGAAGTGGATCTGACAGTTTTTGTCTGTCACCATCAGTGCTTGCCTCTCAGTGACTGTGTCTTGTTCTTTTACGTTTATAAAAGAACACCTCCTCTCTTGGGCTCTGGCCCCTTACACTGTAAGAGTAACTGTTAGTAAGGAATACCCCACGGAGGGGGCCTTCCAGCAAGTGGTTCACGTGAGCTTTTATTACTTTTTCTCATAGGCTTTTTTGTGCCGCAGTAAAAACCAGAAAGAAGAAATTTTTGCAAAAGGTCAAGGTTTACATTTGAGTTTTTTTCATAATAATTTATTTATACATTTATTTTTTTTTTCCTGGAGAGATGTCATCGGAAAATCCCAACAAGGTGGTGACCTTCTTGGCCCCTCCACCTCCAAAGAATGTGAATGGCTCCGGTTCGGACTCACTGGTGGGTGAGAAGCTAGACACGGAGGTCAGAAAACGACGCCACACCATGGATAAAGATCTGAAGACGGCTGAGCACAGATTTTTTAGGCGTAGCGTCATCTGTGACTCCAATGCCACAGCCCTCGACTTGCCCAGCAAAACCTGCATCCTCACCTCGCCTCCGGACTGTGAGCAGTTTGTTGTGCCTGCAGTGCTGGGTTCGGCCCCTGATGTTACCATTGACACCCAAGTGGGTGTTTCGGGTGTCCTATTGGAAGAACATGCGGAGGATGGAAGAGCTGCTCGGGTTGATGGGATTGTGGAGGTACAGAGCCCATCTGTGCAGGATGTGGGTGTGAGGCAGATCGAGGCCCTTGGGATGGCAGAGACGGAGCCCAGCGATGTGGGTGACAAGGAGCAGGAGAGCGGAATAGCAGACAAACGTGAAGAGGAGGAGAAAGGGGTGGCGAAGGCCCGTGCTGAAGCTGAGCAGAGGGAGGCTGAGAAAAAGGTTCAGGAGGATGAAGAAGTGGAAACCAAAGCTGTGGGCACCTCACCTGATGGGCGTTTCCTCAAATTTGACATCGAGATTGGACGCGGCTCGTTCAAAACCGTCTACAAGGGTTTGGACACGGAGACAACGGTGGAAGTAGCGTGGTGTGAACTTCAGGTAAGAAGCTACCATGTTATCAACCTCTGCAACAATGTTCAGCCTTCATTAATTGCAGAAGATGCCTTTGTTGTTTGATGTGAACACTTTTTGCGGTTGACCAAAGGCTTGAAAATGCTCCTGTGAAACAACAGTAAGATCGATTCAAGAAAGAGTGCCAGACATACAACAGGAAGTCATGTTGGTGTAACTTGTTTATGCCGTTTTGTGGTCATGGTTCTTATGGTGCCCCTACAGGATGTGGGTGAAGAACAACTTTGGTGAAGTTTTAGGTTAGGCCCAAAACATAGGCCTACTGTATATAGGTGATCCTGTCATGGATGGTATTGTTGTACATGCTTATTCAGACAGTTAGCTGTAAATATGCCGACATGTTAACCAACTGAATCAGCAAAGTTCTCTTCAAACCGTTGCTCTGCCATTACAGTGGTTGACCTGAAAGACAAAATGAAGATATTTTTACGCTTGTACATCCTATAGCACCGCTTGCAGCAATGCTGAGAATGCAAAGCACAATTGTATTGTCATATGAATTCCTGATAAAGTCAAACTTGCATATCAGGAAGTTTTTACATTCATATTTTTCTTGAATGCGGATGCTAGCTTGATTTATGTTGTTCATAGTTGCATTCAAAAATGTCAGACTGCAAATTTAAAACGTGAACTTGTTGTATTTTCAGCACTGCCACAAGGGGCACTATAGTGTTAGCGCAGTGGTTTTCAATCTTTTTGAACCAAAGCCCCCTGAATTTCTTTTTTTTTTGTGATTCCAGAAGTTTCAAGAACTGCATGTTCTTCAATAAATTATTTTAATATTAATACAAAGTATATTAATAATAATCTATTAATTTAAATAATTGTAGGTAATTCTGCGGCCTCCTTGTTGAGAACCACTGCAAGTTTTTGCTTTTGACTGTCATGGCAGAGCATGTTAGTTAACGTCAATATGTTAACAATAACTTACCTAAGTAATAACATATCTGATTTAATGGCACAGACACCTTGAAGACTGAAGTTTGTTACTTCCAGACCATTGCAAGATTTTACTTTGTTCAACATGACAGAGCTATTTTAGTTTCATACCATGAGTAGAGTTACATTAGGCCAGAATTGTCTTTTTTTCTTTTAATAACACCTTGACATCTAAATCTGACAAATTGGGTCTTGGCAAGTGAAACTCAGTTGGATCTCATTACATACAGGCTCGAGTGTTTCCTCTAAATATCACAAGACCCTCTGTGTTTGTCCTGGTATCTGGTTTCTACTCAGTATGGGCCTTTCGTAGAGCAAGTATAACTGCACACAGATAAAGATGGATTGTTGTTAGTTGCCTAGTGAAGGTCCATGTGCACAAACTGAACCGTTATACACACCGGTCAGACTGATATCAGACTATTAGTAATTCCTCCCAAGAGCTCATAGATTTAAACCATTACATAAACATGTCAAAGCACATACGGATGAAAGTGTGCAAAATATGCAGTGCGGGTGGGGTGGAAGACTCTGGAATGTAAGCGCGGATGGAGTCAGTGACGTCACGTCGATGCTGCCAGGATGAGGGGATTGAACCGATGTGCATTGGTGAAAGCAAAGAAGCATTATGAAGTGTGGACACTTGCTAAAAGGGGGATTTGCCCTACATTTAAAGATGGATCAAGGGTCAGAGGGCAAGCAGGAGCAGAGGTCTGTCCACTGGAAACCCCCAGATTGCTTTGACAAAGGTGTGGGTGAGCAATGCTAGGTTCATCAGGGCGGGTTGCTTTTTTGTCCGCCCCCACTCTCTCTCTTTTTCACTCTCTCTCTCTTTCATTTTCAGGATGCTTTTGTAGTTGTAAAGTATTTGAAGTCTTACTGGACATCAGCAAAAGAGACTTTTCTTGGATGCAGAAGAGGAAAGAAGATTATCTAGTCGACTTTGTTAATGAGACATCTAAACGGCTTTATTTCCCAGAGCTGATTCATCTGCAGAGCTTGTTTTTTTTCTCGCGTTTGAGATCACTTGGGAATTAGTTTCTTTCCATGGATTGACTCAAACGTTTCCTCCTATTTGTCTGAAATTCTAATGTTCTCCAGTTCTTCCATTAGGATGCATTTATTACGTATTTAGTAGCAATTTAGTTACACTATTGTGCTATCAGTTGTTTGAATAATGTTTTTTGTTACCCAGCATGCATCAGTATCACTCTGAATTTTTTTTTTTTTTTTAAATGGGTCTCTCTTGTCCTCATAGCCTTGGTATGTGTTGAATCATAGATGAGCTAGTAGGATGACAAAGGCAGACATTCCCCCAATTCATTCCTCTTGGATTCAGGGAGAAGCAAGCAAGGGCTCTCCTAATGGGAGCAGAGGCATCCCTTTACGCTTTTGTTTTTCTATTCAGCTGAATTATATTAGTAAAGACATGAAATTGTGAGCAAGAGCTAAATGCACCATGAAGAATTCAGTCCCCCCACTGTCTTTTTCACTTCATTCCCATCTATCTCTCTGCCAAATGTTTTCCTAAAATGCCAAATAGTTACAGAGCTGAAACAAAGCAGGGTGCAGTCATAACATTTTGGATGTGATGTTAATCTTCACTTCGCAAGCACTGCATAGTAATACTTGGTTAACAAACCCCTGATCCTCAGTATTAAACGTTGGCGTGTAATCTGTGCAGTACAGTTTACGCTTCAAACATTGATGGATACTTAAATTGTGTGTCCAGTTGAAGAGAGAGTGATTTTGCTTATGAATTTCAGATGATAAAACGGGTTAAAAAATCCAGTAGACTTTTGACTTGGGCTGAAAAGCAACTACCCAACATCCCAGTGAGGTTTGTACGGCAAGTACCACTCACAATTTCTTTTTTCTGGTTCTTGTTCATTCTCTCATTTTCACTCTAACATTCCCTTACCCAGTTTATTACTTTTTTTTTTTAATTGTGAAGCTGTGTGTGATTTTAATGTGATTTAAGTGCCCTAATGGTGTGTAAGCTGTTCAGCATCCACTTCTCCACACATCACACATCACTCTTTTCTTCATGAGCTTTTCCAGCAGAAGAGAGGAATGGAAACCACTTGCAATTAGTTGTCTAAACGCATGCACACACACGCACACACTCACACAGGGTCTTATGTCCATACATTGACTCGCTTCACAAATGTATACTCTGATCTAGATGCAAGTTGTTGACTGAGGTTTTTGACCCTAAACTGTTTAATCAGCCTTATCACCACATGCTAGCTGTAAGATATCACAGTGCAGGAATTTGTGCAGGAGGTGCCTTAACTCCGGGTCGGTTTAAAAGAGACATGCCCCAGAGAGAATGTCTTCATCTGTGAATAATGCAGAGGATGTTAGGGGAACAGTTGAGGAAGAAATCCAATCCCATGGATCCCAGCCACAGCCGTTTCCCTTTTCATTGTTGAAATCCATTTTTTTCCAAAGGAGTGAGAAAGACAAAGCCAGGAGCAATGCTTCCTTCATTTGCAAGCACTGATCTCCTTCCTCATTTACAGTACTGGCCCGTGTGTATGTGTGTTTATCCATTGTGTCTTACACGGGCTGGAAGGAAAAAAGATGTCATCGTAAATGGAAATATACTGAGGGGCTTTGCCATTGTGAGATGCTATCTGATTGGCATTAAGTTTCACTTGCACTGTTTTATCTTACTTAATGTGAATCTGATGTTTTTTTCCAACATGATCTTTTTTTAAACCTCTGCAGTTGCACAATGACTGAAAAGTGTATGCAAAGCAGAAAATGTGTGCATACTCTGACAGCTCTTTCCTTAAAAAGGTTCTTTCTTGCTTTCTTGCATCTTTCTTGCTTTCAGCTCAAGTTTGGAGGCTGTTGCGGTTTCACTTCTCACTAGATTCATAATCTATTTCTTACAACTGAGTCTGTCAGTTCCCCTCACCCTCTCTCCATGTGATAACTTGATATTTGCTCTGTGAAGTATTTGAAACTTTTGAGGCTTTTTATTTTTTACCATGACATTGTTGAATTACCTGTTTTTGCAGCTTATTGCCTGCATAGTAACTCTTTAAAGGACCAGATCCACTGTAAATACTTCACAGGTAACATAAAGCAGCTTGTACTCCTCCCAAAAGAATGCGTAATCTCATGCAGCTGCTTGTCTTGTCTCTGACATGGAGTTTTTTTTTTGCTTGCTGAAGCTTGTTGAAGCCCTCTCCCGCAACATTGTGCTCATCTCCTCTTTGAGATCCTGATCTATAGCATGTGATATGTAACAGTGTAATTCAAGTTTCAAGACTTGTGAGGAAAATCTGGTTTGATCTCTTGCAGACTTTCTTTCTCACCATTGTCTCTCTGTGCCTATGGTTTTGTACGTAGTGTAAGTGTGTTAAAGGTCACAATGGGAGGGCAGTAAATTCCTCACGTTTCACTGCTCACCTCAGCCCCTTGTCCTAACTGCCCCTCATTTTATTCAATAAGCCTCTTAAGATGCTGTTTACACACACACACACACACACACACACACACACACACACAAACACACAGTGTTCAATCACTCTGGACAGGAGACATGAAGTGTTGAACGCACCACTGAAACTCATTAGTTGCTCTTATACTTAAGTTAACTAGTGATATTTTACTGTCTGAAATGCCACTGAAGAAAACAAGTGCACAAACCTCCTGCTGCTGTGATTGGTCGATTGGATCGGAGCTTCAGTGCTGAGCTGCAGACGGCAGACGCATGGCAGTGACACACACACACACACACACACACACACACACACAAACACACAGTGCTTTTACCGTTCAGTCTCGCCCTCAATTACCTTCACCCTACTGACTTCATTTGTTCTCATTTAGAGGTCGACCGAAATGGGTTTTTCACTGGCCGATGCCGATATTTAGAAATCAGGGCAGTCGATGGCCGATATATGATGCCGATTTTTTGGCCGATATGTTTGGCTGATTTTC